AAAAAAAAAAAAGAAGTATTAATCTGTTCTATTGTTAGCAGGTCATTTAGTTCGTCATTTAGTTAAATATAAAGTAAAATAAGCATTGCAAAAAAAAAAGACCATAAACCATAGGTAATTGTGGTGGAAAATCCGTTGAACACGACTAACCTTCGTCTCGATGATGTTATGTCTTTCGTTGATGAGCAGGTTTATTTTTTATTCATTTTCTTTTATCTTTTATCAATTTTTATGACAGTTTTAAAGTTTTCTTAACTTTTTTTATGCCATCAATCTATATTTGTGTATGTGTTTGATAGTTACACAAAATTGTAGATAGATGACAGTTTCAAAAGCCGCCTGTAAATGTTGTTCTAGATTTTGGTAATACCAACACTGGACAGCGAAGCACGAGCTAATTTAGATGCTGAATTGTACAAGAAGTTCCGTGATGATGTTACATTGGTGGATATACCGGCACAGTTGGGTAACGATCAAAAGGGCAATTGCGGAATGTATACAGCAATCCTTGCAACTGACAAGTATTAACGTTTATCAATCAAAGTCTAAGAACATTTTTGGCTGTATCGTGCTTTTTTTTTTGACATCTTATTCTGTTTATATAAACGTTTTTCTGCCCTTTTTTTCCGTCTTTTTAGCACTTTTTTAATAATTTTTTTCGATTTTTGCTTTCGTCTTTTTTCTCATTTCTACTTTTTTTCTCTTACTGTCAGATTCATTAGGCAAAGTTTCGGGCGCCATTAAATGATTTTACAATTCGAATGTTTGTTGTGCCTACATTTGCTTACAGATTTCTCTATGTACCAGTGTTTGGTAATGATCCAGAGAATTGGAAACGTGGACATTCGACAATGATGGACAAAATGGTTTTACATATGCTTGAGGTTGCTGTTTATACAATACTGTTGTTTTTCTCCACTTTTTTTTTTTCGTCTAAGGGGGAAAATTGAGAAAAAGGAATGAATTGGTGTAGCAAAAGTAACGTTAAAGAAATGGAGAATGGACAAGAAGA